AATAATAATAATAATAATAATAATAATAATAATAATAATAATAATAACTATAATAATTATAGTAATAATAATATCAAGCATTGTGCATACTAAATGAAAGCCTGACGGAATATAAAAACGAGTACTACTTCTAATTTAATTTAAATTTGTTTTTACTTTTTCAATTGTTGTTCTTATTTACATATCTTTGCTATTATTATTATTATTATTATGCAAACTGTTAATACTATAATGTTATTATAATTATCATATTCGTGTTGTAAAACGAAATCGTTTCAACCATGCGCGAGTAAAAGTTTTAATATAAGTTTAATCGCATTTACATAATGATATAATATTTATGTCCAGGCGGTCGCGTGTAAAAAAAATATTTATTTAATTATTTCCATAATGATTTAACGAAAATTTTTATAATCCGTAAGTTCTTAGATTTCGAATAAGTCTAGTGTAATAAAATTGCGGATATACTACAGTTCAAGTTTCCGTTTACGTTTTCGCTTACAGTGTTTTAGCAAGCCGGTGCACAATTGCGTTAATTATTTCGAATGAATGACGCTTTACGTCCGCGTGTTGGTGTATACATTACAGGTCGAACAAGGTTATCGATGAACGCCCGTTCGCTTTTAACACTCGAAAAATTGCTTTTATATTTCCATATAATTGAATCCAATCAAACAATAAAATATGTATAATACATTATAAATCTACCTTATGTTGTTTCGACAATTCTACGAACGTAACCGTGAGAACCACAAACAATAACACCGCGAGCTCCTCTCGTAGTACTGTCTTCGTATTTGCACACGGCCGACCGTTTTATTCGAACTGCAACAAAAAATAAAAAATACCGTTTGTTAATATTATTTACACGGTGGCATAATAATTTGGAGACCAGTGATTAACTAATATGGTTTATTAGAAATCCAATAGCACATAATTAATTTACTTTTGTTACTCCATAACGGACGATCGTTGAGCGCTCGATTCGGTGTGTCGAAGGTTAATTTCTCTTCGTTGACAAAAATATTAATATAACAACTGACTTTTGAGCATTATGCTTATATAGTCTAAATCAGCAGTTCCCGCAGTGCTATTGGGACATCACGAGCCCATTCATGGGGCATCACGGCCCACATGAGAATACAATTAGGTTAAGATGTACTAGTGTTCATTTACTGTGCGAATTGCAAACTTCTTGTGATACAGTTACTCAGTGTAAGAAGACACCGTGACTAAAATAAGCCAAAAAAAAAAAAAAAAAAAAAAAAAAAAAAAAAAAAAAATGCAACTCCCGGTAAAAAGTTTTAGGAACCGCTGGTCTAAACTATTTAATAATAGTTACTACTGATTTCGGTCCTGCCGAGACCTCTGAAGGCAGGATTTCGCGGGCTGTATTCGTTTATGTACGTCAAAAATACATTTTGTACAAACCGTAATCAGATAATGATCAGTCGAGATACGGCAGTTCTGTGCTAAAGTATACATCACGGGTTATTTGCGCGTGGTTAACCGTATAAAAATAGTATTTTCATTCTATCCGATCCTGATCGGATGACGTAGTAATCGCGCCCTCAGCCTACAGGCTCGATTTCAAAACGTCAACGGCACTCTTTGCGAAACGCACTCGCTACGACTATATAGGTCAAATGACCGGATAGAAACCTATATGTTATTTAAGATTAGACGTACTCTAATCCAATTCGTCGGCCGCTCTTAATTGCCTTACTTTAGAAATCTATCATGAACTCCACGATTGTCATTACAACGCATTATGTTTGTACCGAGTCTATGCACAAGAGTAGTATTTAAATACGCGTACAAATATACACGTGAGCAGACACCGCGCATAATATCACAAATGATCGAAAAAAAAAATATTACGCGTGTACTCGTTAACAGCGCATAACGTGACCGACACGTCACGACGGTGTTAATCTCACCAAAAAAAAAAAAAAAAAATGAAAAGTTTACACATGTCAATTACGGACTGGTTAATGTACGGTTTAAGATTACCGTTTTGACTAAATCTCTTCCGCCGCGGTGAGCTCGTTATTCCAAAAGCAGTGAAACCGTTTCGCGAGATCGCGTACTCTATTAATTATATACGTCGTCGCGCCCCTTACGTCACGAACGTTCAAGCCTAGCACTTAAGATTGACGAAGACAATAATTATTATTTATTATTATTATTATTATTATTATTATTGCGATAATGAATGGTAATTGGTTGAAAAGGAAAAATTCTTATCCGGCTCACAGTGTTCCGTTCTGGCCGACACGTCGCTCCGGAAGGAAGACGAAAAATACGGCGCGAGGAGAAGGGTTGACGCGGTGCATGATCTGATCAGTGTAATCCGACGGGCGAGGCCAATTTTTCTATTACACACCATTATTATGCATAACTTTCCGATGCGATGCGGCAAGAACTAGTATTCGCAAGAACGTAAACGTAATTGTATACGATGGACTTATCTTTATTTACCTACAACTGGACGCGGACGACGGATCGAAATGATTTAACATTTACACGGCGCCGACAGGTATAACTCATAGAAACTCGCACGCATGTTACCTACATCCGACCACATCGTACATTCACAGTGTTTTCACTGATACAACTGATCTCGTGATCACTGCTGCGTACCTGTTGGCCGTTTGATTTTAAACTAGTTTCAAAGTTTGTTTTATCGCAGCACGTTGGTCGGCCCATTCCTCGGACGATTACAAAACATTACGCAATCCGCCGCACACAAACACGTGCACCGCTGTCAAAAATGCATCAGGACACGAAATGTGGTCGGCTATCGTATACGATCGTTTCGTTTTCGTCTTATAATCCAATATGATAATATAATAATAATAAATGTATAATATTTGAATAATAATATATACTATTACAGTAGGCCGAGACCAATGACGTTTTCGTCAGCAGACTGCTGCAGCGGTTGCGAACTGACCGTGAACGGGCTTAATCCGTCCGTTATGCGGGATATACTTCACGTTACGGTTTATCATGGAGGAATCATCGAAGCGAATGGGATACAGAACGCAACGTTATAAACGGACGTCGTGGATATATAAAATATATGTGGTAACATTTGCAGCGCGTGAGGGACAAACCTTTAAATTTTAAAATTTCGACGATTTGCGTAAATCGTGGTCTCTTCGGCAATAATTCCGATACGAACATAATGTCTCGAAAACATAATACATCCTATAAAAAAGGTCGATAAGGATTTGGAAACTGATTTGAATTCGTCATAAAGTCTTCTTAAGATCGACTTTCTCACATTTTTTAAATTTTGTCCTTAACATACCTAAAAATTAATTTTTATGTTTCTAATTTGTTTAATCCTATTTTATGAAATTTTGGAAGACAAAATCAAAAAAGTGGAAAATTCGATTTAAAGAAGACTTTATAACGAATTTTAATCAGTTTTCAAAATCCTTATCACCTTAAATGAACGATCGGTACTTTGAAAATTTAAAACAGTGGTTCTCAACGGGGGCGATATCGCCCCTCAGTGGGCGGTGAAGTATCACTGAGGGGCATTGAACTATTTTTGGGCGGTAGGGGGGCGGTGAACTAGTCTTAGGTGGTAGAGGGGTGGCAAGCGTGTTCACGCAAAAACGTACATGGTGTGACCTAAAAATAATTCATACTTAATATTTCATATAAAAACTATTAGTTACTAATAGGTACTATATGTTGAGCAATGCACAATAACATATCTTTCATTGTTGATACATTTATTATCTTTATTATTTTTACGATTGTGCATGGACATTGTATTTTATTATAGGTAGGTACCTATATTAACCAACCTTTTAGCAAACCGTTTGATTTGACCCGCGCATGTTGTATTAGTTTTCGTTATTATACTCGTAATATTCAGTCTGTTAAAAACGTGTTTTTTAAAAAAAAATTACTACAAAATTACATGAGTAAATATCTACAAAAACAATAAAAGCAATATTTTTTATTTGATTATAAAATCTTTTTTAAAAGTAATATTTTTTCTAAATAAACTAAAAAATGTATTTATTATTATAAAATAAAATTGATGAATTATTAAGTTTTTCAAATGTTTAATTTAATTAATTTACTAGTACTATAACTAAAAAAATATGAAAAATAAAACATAAATGAAAACATTAGTTATGAGATAATTATTCAAATTTTTTTTCAAATTTTCCAAATCATTAACTTCTTTCCTATCTCTCAGCCTATACCATTCATTATAGAATTTTCACATAGGAGGGCGTTAAAGAATTGATTTTTACTCAAGGGGGTGGTAACATAAAAAAGGTTGAGAAACACTGATATAAAACATTTAAATTCCTATATTACACGTGTGATAGAAAGAGAAAGAAAATCATGGCTTGCAATCCCCTTAGCCGATTTGTTAAGAACCATAATAAAACATGGACGTGTTTAATGAAAATATACATCGCGGATAATCTTCTACAAAAACATACCAAAAATCTTTCATAATTATAGCCAGAATCAAAATTCAAAAAGTCAAAGGTCAATTTTTCCAAACTACGCGCTCATCGGTACGGAGCATAATTAAAATATTATTATTTCACGAAATTCCTTTTTGACCGGTAATTCAGTAATAATTTTTTTTTTTTAACTCACGACTAATTATCGTCGATTTTATAATTAAATGTTGTTTTTGCCCATTTCTTTTCACGTGGAAATTACAAGGAAAAAGGGATCGAAAATGTAAAGCAGCAGCCCCCGCAGAGTAATAAGGGATCAAATACATTGCGTTTAATGTATAATCCAGCGACGGGACAAGGTGAGACGTCGAAAGCCGAAAAACAGGTCATATGTCGACCGTGTGGATGAAGCTCAACCGCGAAGTTGTACATTTGAGGGTATCCGTGAGTAAATTTAATACGGGCAAAAAGTTTAGAGCGTACCGAACACGTCGTAAAAATAAACACGTGTGTATACGCTTTGCAACCAACCGCACTCGGATACGGTTGTCGCGACTATCTAACGTATGCACGCGAATACAAGTAAAACGCAAATTAAAACGATGCGGAGCACAAGCACGTCCGCTACAGCAAAAGTTCACGTGTGCGAGTAAGTGAAGGAACGGCGACGATATCCGCGTGTCTATGATGGTACGAGCAAATTATTATAATGTATCATGAATAATATTACACGCGTATACGGGTCATTTCGCGGTGCTTCGGTTACCGGGTATACAAATTGCACAGATAGCTCATGCACGGCGTTCAACAGAAACGATATATTATGCGTACCGGTAGAAACACACGTAATACATGCAAACACACACACATAAAAACGTTATCGGGTCCCCGAAGTAGACGTAGAAAAAATTAATTAAAAAAACATCCTTGGCGGTGGTGACACCGTTCAATTATCAGTTCAACAGCCAATCGTTACACGTGCGTATTTATTATGTATTCTTTGGTCCATGCCGCGTCCACCTCGACGGCGATGGCAATGAGAATATTACAGGCCTTTTTCATCCGAACACAATGCGAGCCAGTCGTGTACGCGGACAAATAGAACATAATATATGGTGTATTCTTATACGTAGATACGTGTGTGTGTGTGTGTGTGTGAGTGCCAATTAATTACAAAAAACGAGATTGCTGTTGCTAGCAGGTATATTATCCTTAGACCACAAAAGGTTTGCGGCAACTTATTCTCGGGAAAAAATCGTTGCGGTGAACTTGTAACTGTCTTATACGTTGATTCACTTCGACATATATTGCGTAACACAAAATAAAATAAATATCAAATTCGGTATAACACCAAAACGTCCTCTTTCGATCACCTCACAA